TCAAAGCCCTCAATCCTTCTGCCTGCAGTGATTGGCTCAAGGATGGGCTTAGAATCCAAGCCTGGCCAATCAGAGCCTTTCTCGAGTGTTTTGCCATAGTAACGGCTGAGGACACCTGCTTCCTCTGTGGGGCTGGGAGCTTTCAGGACCATCAAGCCTGGAGCTGCCATTGGCAAGTTGGTCCTGCCTCCTGGGGGCAGCCCGCGTCAGAATGCCCTGCAGGTGCTCCAACCGCGTCGCAGAAGAGAGTTAATGACACGGAAAGATGTTCATGATACCTTCCTGGCTTAAAAAACAGAACCCAGCTATGCAACGGTGCATATAGTATTTCTTGCTGCGTGTGTGCGTGTGTGCGCGCGTGTGTGTGTTTGAAGAGATGGATGACAGATGACAGATGCCCATGTAGTAACACGGTTCTCTCTGTATGAGTATTGGTTACATGTTCTCCTTTTTTGTTTATCTGAACTTTCAAAACTCCGCCTGGGTTTCAGACGTCTCACCGGCTCTGGTGGTTTCCTTGTCTGTGTTGTAGCTGGGCTCACGCAGGCCCCTGGAGAAGTCATCTCCAGCACATTCCTCCTGGGGAGTAGCCGTCGCACCCGGGGCCTCTCGTCTGCCTTTCCAGGGCATGGCTTTTCCAGCGACCCCATGACCTGCCCCACTCTCAGGCCAGTCCGCCCTTGACCGCTCTGCTCACTGGGTCCCCTCTCGGCCGCCGGGACCTGCAGTCCCCATGAGCCTGGTGATGTCATCCCGACTGTCTTCCAGACGCCTGGAGAAGGCCGGGCCTCCCTCCCCCACGCATCCTGCCGGGCCTCGTGTTTTCCTGCTCAGCTCACAAGAAACCTGCAAAAAATATTTTCTCTGGCAGCCGATGAGAGACTCACAGCCCCAGACATGCCTTCCAGGCGACGTCCGAGCCTGCAGTGGCCACCGCCGGCCGCCGCTGCCAGGAGACGCGGTCGTGGACAAGGCGCGAGTTCGGACCACATCGTCTTGAATAGGGTTCTTTCTCCCTTTGGGGTTGGAGAGCTCACAGGCCCGGGGCATGGGGTCCCACGGGGGACCCTGCTGGCGAACCAAACCTCTCCGAAGCCCCTGGCCTGTGGCCACCGGGCCAGGGGGCGTGGCAGGGCCTCCAGCCGCCCAGACCACGGCTCCCTCCTCCCATGGCTGAAGGTCTAGCAAGCTGGCAATAGCGGGCCTACCGCACCCCCACTCCACACGCCTCCTGGTGGGGGACAGTCCATCGGGGTGTCCATGCCCACGCCCCTTGAGCAGGCCTGTCGGCCCCACCCCAGGCCCTGACTACACACAACCTTCGAGCCGAGTGAGGGTAGTCACCTGATCCGTGCACCCACAGGCCGTGACCCTGAGAAGGAGGACCTGGGTGAGGGCTGGAGCTGAAAGGGCGGGCAGGGTGGAGCAGGGCTGCGCCCAGGAATGCAGAGAAAGCTGGGCGAGGGAGTCGGAAAGGGAGAGGAGGTGCTGAGCTGGGGCGCGGGGAGGGAGAGGAGTGGGAGGAATGGCCGAGGGCCTCCCGCATTCCTGGTGTCCAGCGGGACCTTTTGTGCGTAAGTGACCCACATTCCTGAATCCTTTGAATAACAGCCTCCTCTGGACGTCCGTTCCCTCACCCAACGGCCCAGAGGGGGTCGCCAAGGGCACCGACCTGTCCCCAGGCGCAAGGTCCGCCTTCACCTGCCTCTGCTCACCCCCTTCCCACTGGCCGGGAGGCCCCCTTTGCTGCTCCTTCTCAGGGGCCTTGACTTACTGAAGAAAGTGCTTCCCTGGACGGGCCATCTCCCCAGCCCTGGCGTCCACGGCTGTGGTCAGGGCAGAGGGGCCTTGGAGATCCCAAGCAAAGGTCCCTGGCGGCTGTGGCTCCGGGCGGCCGTGGCTCCGGGTGGCCGTGACTCCGGGCGGCCGTGGCTCCGGCACCGGGACGTGCGGCGTGGTGTGTGCTGGTGGGGAAGGTAGAGGTGGGGAGCTGGCAGATTCGGGCTTGAATCCCGGCTCGGGAGCCAGTAGCACCCCGGGCCTGCGTGTGTGACGCGTCCACCCACCGGGTCCTCTGGACAGCGCTATGAGAGGGACCCGTTTCCCAGACGGGACACAGGCGGGCGAGGCTGGGCAATGGCCCCTGCGCCCGTGGGCGGTAGAGGGAAGGCCTCACCAGCCAGTTGTGCCTGAAGAGAAGAAACACGTCTGAGGCTCCTTCAACCACGTGAAACCGAATGCGCCGGGAAGACCAGCAGGTCAGCCTTCTGAGAAGGTGTTCTTTCAACTTGACTTAGGAGCCGGACCCGCTTCCCGTAACCCACGCGGGGCGGGTGCTGCTGAGACAAAGCCAGCGCCGCTCATGCCCGAGGCCGCGGGGACGAGGACGCAGGGCCAACCCACCCCCTCCTCCCCTGTGACTGTTTGGCATTTTCATAATAAAAAGTTGCGTTTTACCCGGCTGCCGGCGTGGCTCAGTGGGTGAGCGTCCACCTGTGAGCCAGGAGGTCACAGCTCGATTCCCTGTCAGGGCCCAGGCCCGGGTTTCCGGCTCAGTTCCCAGGTGGGGGGCGTGCAGGATCAGCCGGTCCCTGATTCTCTCTCATTATCGATGTTTCCCTCTCTCTCTCACTTCCTCTCTGAAGTCAATAAAAATATATTAAAAGAAATAGAAGGGGAGTTCAACTTGATAAAGTAATTTGTAATAAAACATTTTATATCACACTTAATAGTGAAAGACTGACTGCCTTTTTTCTAATATTATAAAACAGGTAATGTCTTCTCTCTCTGCCCAGTTCAACATTATACTAAAGGTCCTACCCAGTGCTATAATGGAGGAAAAAGAAATAACAAGA